CTATGATTCTATGATTCTATGATTTGCTGAGGAAAAGAGCAAAGCCCATCTGTCCATCTATGTTGGCAAATATACGTTAATTATCCAGAAATGAGAAAAAGTATTTATGATTGAGAACCTCTTTTCTGTTGCTGAGCCAGAAAACGAAAAGCCTCCTAAAACAAGTGGTGTCAACAGCAGAGGGACAGGAAGATTTGTGAGTAGAGGGGTGGGGAAACCAAAACGTACGAGCTTTTTAAGGAGAGAGAAAAACAAATAAACAAACTTGTTACGTACAAACCTATAAGCCTCAAGATAATGGTGAAAGAACAGGCATGAATCGGCATTACAGAGTGATGCTTTAGTACTGAAATATCAATGTTTTCATCATTTACTTACATTCATGACGGTATTAATTTTAGAAACGGTTTCATCATCAGCTGGAAACTGGTATATCTGGATGCCATTACTAGTTAACTCACTCATTATTTTGTTCTTGAACTTCTGTAGTTCGGTTTTAGAAATGCTGTCTGCTTTGCCTATAATTGGTATAATGTTCACCTATTAATGATACAAATTATATGAAATGTGTAAGATTTCCATTTTGAGGTGACATCTTTTATAAATTAAATTGTTTGGTGATAAGCTCTTTAAAACTTCCCCTGCAGCCCAAATTTTTCCATCAATTGACATCAAAGCTTCACAAACCATGAAAAATAGATTCACTGGAATCAATTAACAAAATAACAACAGATTATTTAATATACTCCCTTAAAATTAATTGATTCTGAGAAAAGAACGAGGAAGGAGGTCTCATACAGTGAAGTACTCAAAAGAATAGCAATGCCTACTTATTAACTAAATGACATAGAGTATTTACATCTTTGCTAAAAAAAAGTTGGTTTAGTTTATAGCACTGGGGCAATGGTTCAGGTGTTAAATTAAAGTTGACAGTTTAAATACACAAAGAAAATGAAGCTGGCTACCAAACGCTGCCTACCCCTGAGCCTCTCTTTTGGGTTCCTTTCAGCTCCAACAACATCTTGTTCACCTCATCACTGCAGCAAAGAGTTTCTCAAGTACCTGCTGTGAGCAGAGGAACGATGAAGACTGAAGACAAAGATCTTGCTTACCAGTCTTTACACTAATCATTCAGAACTTGAAATTCAGTTCTACTACAGTAAACTGCCCTATTTCCTAAAATAGTTACGACAGTAACTTAGGAAGGTAGTAGGTGCCAAATTTTTCTTAAAAATACTATCAACACTCCCAAAACATGCATTTTCCAGAACTAGATACAAAGAATTAATGCCAATGTCCAAATATTTTAGAAGAACAATACAAATAATTCTTCCAGATTTCAGAAGACAAGAGTTCTACAGAGTTCCTTGATCATAGATGCAAAAAGCAAGGGGAGGAAAAAAAAAGGAAAAAAACCCACACACATTCTTTTTATTCTTCTGAATATTCTGTCTGAATGGAAATGCCTAAGCATGGAATCTCAAGAATGGATTCAAAATGGGTGTTTTTGAAATAAGTCTTCTGTCTTAAGCAAAACGTCCGAATGAAAAAAAAAGCATGGCAACTCCAAAGTATGACTTCTAAGATTACCTGATGATAGTCCTTAATTGTGTAGCTTATGCAACCTAAGCACATATGGGGTAAAATATCTAAAATCAAATAAAATGGTAAAATAACTGAGTTAATTTAGGATTGTATAAACAAACCAGTACAGCTAGGAGTAATTCACAGCTTCAATTAAATTAGTTGAGGGACATCAACTTAGGTTTTCTATCATACGGCTTTAAAAATGGATGGAACACAGAGTCCTCAGAATTAAATTAACCTTTACTCCGTCTTTTCAACATGAAAGTTTTTCAAGCACTCATTAATTAGGAGAGAAATTCTCAGACAACGAACAGGAGAGAAAGACTACTGAGGAGACCAGTAACAAAAGAAAAGCAAAATCGCCAGAAACTGTGATTGCAGCTATCAACATTGATGTTAAATCACAACCACTGTATTAAAATTCAAAAGCAGTACTACTCTGGCTTTAGATAAGCAACAAAAAAAAGTTATCTTTGCTTAATCTATTAAACCAAATTAATTTCTGCTTGCAGCATCTAAGGTTTACTTGAAAACTAGTATCTCAATACTTTCATCCGAGAATAACATTAAGTGAAAGCACACATTTCTACTAACAAGAGACTTAACTGTATTGCTTTGGAGCCCATATAGATGTGCCCCAAGTCCCACTGCTCCCTCCTATGCCTACTGCTCACTCGGAAACCAACTGATTCCCTTCCAGCCTCTTCCCCAGCTACAGCTCTCAACAACTACAAAACTGAATTTTGCTACAAAGCTATAGGCCCTTAATACAGAATCACTTTAGCCCCACGTAAAAAGTCTACACTTGAAACAAAACCAAGAGTCTGGCCCTTCCCCATACCTGCAGCTACTCATTGCCAGGTAGAACTAAAATCTGTGCAGCTGGCCAAGGAAACAGATTAATTTTCAGCTTGATGAGTTCTCTACCCAAGCAAAAATCTTTAGCTTTCAATTTAAATGAGTTCCCTCATCCAGGGAACTGGCTGCCCAAAACACTTAAGCATGCACAATGGGAAGAAGCAGCTGAGACTGCCACATTCAATAGCAATACAGAATGACCATATAAAGTCACGAGGATAAACTTCATTCATGCACATTACTTCCCTGTTCGCTAGCACCAAATTCAGCCATCTGATCATCCTTCTGCCTGAAATGCAAAGGGTCGCTTCCCCCCCAATTAGAAAATATGCTATTACTCTAAAGTAAGATTTTAATGTACCACTTTACATTAATGTCAAAACATCTGTTGCCCCTTTATGCTATAGAGAAGGAAAAAAATACATATACTTGAAATTATTACTGGTTGATATCTTGCAGGTTGATTTAAGTGTATGTCTATGAACCCATACAAAAATTTCCAAAGATTCTTTCTGAAGCAAAAAAAAAATAAACAAACTCAAGCCCCACAAGGTACAGTCATGTCATTTCCTGACTTAACAGTAATCTGTATATTATTCTGCAAGAATGACTTAAAATTGCAGATTTATTAGTTGAATAATCACTAGTGCCCAGCAAGAAAGCATAGGGGAGAAGATCCCCTTAATCTGCAAATCAAACCTGGCTGGTCTGTAGTGATTCAGTCCTAAGCAAAACTACAGGACTTTCCAATGTCTAAATGGTAGAGGCCAAATTCCTAGCTAGCCATCCAATTTATAAGCAACAAAGAAAAATTAATTGCCTACAGACACGTCTGTTTTTTTCTCCCAGGATTATAGAGTATAGGATGACCATATCCTATTCCAAGATTTCACTTTACCTTTGAGCTGTGCAATCTGGTCTTATTTTGTACCACACAGACCGTAACAAAAGCGTAACAGTGTACACTGTGGTGGCTTTAGGAAGAAACTGAAGACAACTTCTGACACAGATTTATACACTCAATGTACGCGTGTTGCTGTAGCACCTTCTCTTTATGGAATCCTGTACTCAGCAAACACGCCCAGAGACTTCCACAACCTGGGAAATTCCAAGTTCTGAATTGTCACTAGGAGAATGCAGTACTAAAAGCATCACAAACAGGTTCCACAATGAGACAGAAACCCAACTACAGTTAATGTATATACTTTTTTTGTGTGTATACATACATTTCTGTAGTAAGGCCAGAAAGTAAAATCCATTGCAAAGGGATAAAACAAAGTTACTTGCCATTCATGTTCTTCTGAGCCAAAGCAGAACTATAAATATTCAGAGTAGGTGGCTAGAAGCTAAAATCCCCTAAAGTAGAATTACTGTCATTTTATCCTGATGGAAAAATATTTTCTCAGGATGCTGGGATTCGTGGCTCTGTTTCCTCTTCTTTTGGAAGAAACATCGTACTAAAGAGAGTTCAGTAAAGAGAGGGTACAACCTAGAAGTCAAGTATTTTTGTGGTTTAACACAACCTCCAACTTCAAAACTGAAGACTAGAACAACACATTCCATGAAACTGTCCCATTTTCTAGTACCATGGTTCTTTAGCTATCAGTGCGTATTACAGAGTAGTTTCACAAACATTTTAACCTGGTATAAACCAACACCATAGCAGAAAGAAGTCACCCTGCTCTCTCCTACCTTTGTCCCACCAGACCAACCCCCCACTTGCTCTGGGCTATTGAGAACATTCAAAATGCAAAATACATCCACAAACAAAACCATTAAAATACCAAATGTGCTCATCAATCACAAATGTAGAATAGACAGCTGATTTGATCCTTGTTATCTTGAAGAAACGAACAAGAAAATGCAGAAAGAAAATTTAGCAGGAGAGGCTCTAGTGAAGCACGAAGGAGACAGCTAGAGGAACAGCAAACACATTTAAGTTTTCAAATTTTTCAAAATTTCAACAAATTAAACCCAAATGATGTAAGGTTTCTTAAAATTGGTTAAACACTTAGCTTCATCCAGTTCTCACAGCCCCATTACAGGAAGAAAGTTAAGAATTAGAAAGTGCAAGTGCAAGTAACCACACCAGAAACTGCTATTTTAAAGCTTTCAAAACAAATCAAGATGTGAACTTTAAAACGCTAATGCAGCCTATCTCAGAAAAAGCCGTGCTGGCAGGGTGTTCTGTTCACGGCACTTGCCTCTTCAGTTATCTGTAACAAAGATCTTCACAGTGCTGCAAAGCTTTTTCTATGCCAACTTTCCAGCAGTCCCGAAACTCAATAGTGAACTAGAAACAAGCTTAATTAGAAATATTACAGCACTCATGGAGGGTATCCCATCCAATCGCAATAAGATGTTAACAGTTTGTTAAAAGTAAAGTTGATGTGGTTCTAATTTTTTGTTACTTTTTTTTTTTAAACCTTGCTGTGCTTCTTTTTTCAACTTTCTGGCCAGCTATCTCTCTCTCTTCTTCTGCTTTGTAAACAAACATACGATGAACTGCAAGCCACTTGTGGAACCAATTTATTCTGAACTTAAGGTACACCAGTACCAAAAAACATCCCAAAACCAAACACATGGATATAGAACTGAAAGGTGGTAGAGGATCTACAAGCTGCAAGATGCTTCAGAAAATAAGACAAATTCTTGGAACTCTATTTCAAAGTCTTACCTTGCTCTCTAGGATTTTCATGGTTAACAAATCTAGGGTTTTTAGGGAATGGCCTGTAGGTGAAATGAAATAGAGGCAGACATGGATGCGAGTATCATGGTAGCTAAATAAAGAACGTTTAATTTTCAGTTCTTCCTGGAGATAGGCTTCAAATTGTGCATCTATATAATCCACTATTGGCTGATAGCTGTAAGAAATAAAATTTGACAACCAGAGGTTAGCTACTCTTAAATAGAGCCAGACTAAGAAAGGAATTCCTCTTGTATTGTTTTGTGGATTTTTGCTTTACATGTCAAAAGGCTGCTCAAGTATCTACCCAGTACAGCAGAAAATTAAGTGTAAACAATAATCTTAATTTCTGAAAGGCTAATCAAAAAAGAATTGTTCATCTAATACATATAAAATATTTCCTAGCTACTATTAGTGAAAAAAGCTACATAAAGTTAGTTATGATTATAATCGATCTTCCCAAGTGATGATTTATAAATTTTTGCAATCAAGCTGTGCAACTGCAGAACTCTTAGATACAAGGAAGATACAAGAAACTCTTAGATATAATACAAGAAAAGAAAGAACATGCAATTACCAGTACAAAGAAATAGGACCTCCTTTATCTTCTGAAGATGAAGTACTGTACATGAGAGAGCTCTTAAACAATAGACAAAAATTGAAAAGGAGGAATGTAAGAGAAGAATGTAAATCTGAGTTGCAACAAGTACAGTTTAAGTACACTTTATCCTACTTAAAACCGGATTATAATCTGCTTTCTAAAAGAAAGTGTTGCTGGACGTACAAGCAGCGTGCCCCTACATTTCTGCTCCTACACAAAGTTTATAAATCAGATCAAATGCCATCAAAATTCAGAAGTAGTTGTTACACACAACATTAAAGGAAGCACTAAAAGGCAGTTCCTCTACCACACATCAAAACCTCTAATATCTACACTAATACCTACTTGCATCTCATTCATCCAAGTGACTAGCAGCAGCTATTTTCCAGTCATATCATAAGCCATAGCTCTTACGATAATCTTAATGTGACTCTCTAACCTTCATTCATAATTACCACCATTTAGGCATTCATATAGCATGAAGAATTGCCAAAATTCTTTACAACTAAGATGAAAGAAACAAAATTTGCTGAGAGACAGTTCAATATTTTAAAATCTTCAATTCATAAAAGCAGAGACTCAAAAAAAAGTTCTAAAAGACACTAGTGTGGTACCTCTACATCTTCTGATTAAGCTGTCCGACATAAAAAACAAAGGCCTTCAGTAATCCACGTGATTTTCCTTCCAGTTTAAGGTCTTCAATATGTTCCAATCAAATAGTTAAAAACCCTATAGATCTAATCCATATAATCTACAGTACCTTATAACCTGTTTGGTTGTTTAAAAAGTCTCCCATTGACCTCCCTGCTTTCCTCCACCCCAAAAGAAACTCTAGTCACCACTGCACATTTTCATACATTTGTAAAAGATTATATCCTAAAGAAAGGAGCAGAGTTCACCTGATTTCTCAAATCACCTCCTAGAGGAGAAGAAAAACATGTTTGTTTTTTTTCTCTACACAGAGAAAACAGTGAACCAAATATTTGGAACAGATGTAGGACAAATATTTACTACAAAGCCCAAAGAAAAATCAACTTGTAACTGTAGACCAAAACTTCCGCATACCATAGCGACAAGAGGGCACTTACCTATCTTCTTTGTTTATCTGGTCACCAAATCCCACTGTGTTTACAACGGTCAGCTTCAAAAGAACATTATTTTCCTGGAGTTCGTAAGTCTGGGCTCTAACTTGTACACTTGGCAGAAAATGCGTTGACACAGGGTCATCAAAATTGGTGTTAAACAAACTGTTTATCAAGGTTGATTTCCCACTTCCAGTTTCCCCTAAAGTTAAACAGAAAGGTTGGAGAAGACATTTTGCACAGCAAATAAAAACCTACTAAGCATAGAAAGTGTCATCACAGGAACTCGACAAATTTACACAAAAACTTGTCAACTGATTTCTCCGAGCAAAATGGTTGCCTACATTCCTTTTTCATAACAAGCACTGAATACCTTTTAGTTAATTTTTTCTTCCTACAGGTAAGAGAGAGTTAGCTGCTAATGACTAATAAAAACAGTCTCTTGACACTTTGGTTTCTTTAAAAGTGTGAACTAATTTCCTACAGATTTTAAAAAGCTAAGTAGCTAGATGTGAAACCACAGGGTTCAACACAGGCTTTTTATGAACAAGGGTAAAATACCACAGCAAACATTTGTTAAGTATGGAAATACTTCAGTAACATCACCTTGGAATTTTAGGATTTTTTGATCTGAAGCTCTTTGTTATAGTACAAATAAAAGTGTGGCCCAGTTTACTCAAAAGAATCCAAGAAGCTGCCCATAAATCAATAAATGCATGGCATCCATTTTCAATATTTTTGGTCTTCACATTGTTTATGAAAATGCTAAATATTTTTTTTTTAAAAAGCATGGATACAAATAAGCTAAGGTGGGGGAAGGAGTGGAATTATAGTTCATGCTTAACATTAAAGAAAGAGTTTAACATTGCAACTGGATTTAAATTTCAGTCACTTCCTAGGGACAGGTATACTATTAAAGCCTTAAACCACCCAGATACTACTTACCAATGCAAAGAATGTTGAAGCAGAAGCCCTGCTTGATGGATTTTTTAACCAGTTGATCAGGTAAACTACCAAAACCCACATGCCCAGACAAGGATAAAGTTCGACAGCCATCATTTTGCTACAGAAAAATCATTTAAAAATATGTTAGTGAAGTGAGTTGCAAAGCAATTAGCAATGGCAATAAAAGGAACTCTACTAGTAAGCTAGAACTCATTTCTTATGATTTACATGGAACCAAGAAAAGCAAAAGTCTAAAAAAAAGATCTGTGAAATCAACTTTATTCCATGATTTGAGAAAACATTCAAATTTACTTTACAGGACTATTTGCAGGCTCAAAGTGAAGTCCACAATTTGTGAAAAAAACCCTCATGAAACATGAATGAAATAAAGCAGACAAGTCCAACTGAAAATTGTAGACAGAAAATAGATCACAGTTGGTTTGCTCTTAGAAATGAAGAAAAAAATATTTTAGAATTATTTAAGCAGCAGAATTAAAAATAGAGACCATAATCACAGCAAGGTGTATGTTATCAATCAGAACTCATTCTGAGTAGTGGGAACTGAAATAGTTATTTATGCAAAATAAGACATTATCTACACACCAGAATTCGAAGATATAATATTATATATATTACTAGAAATGTCTAGAGGTGCACATTCCTTTTCAAACATTAGCCAGCAGTCCAGCATCACGACATCAAGGCAATGAGCACACTAAAAATGCCTACGACTAAAAGGAAATATCTTGGTTCATACAAATGAACTGTATTTTTAAACAAACATTCCCTATCAAAAGTGTAAACATTGACAGGTCCATGCTGTTCTTTCTCTTATGTTTCCAATCCACATGGAATTGGAAACCATTACTGGTTCCTGGGAACATGTATACAGCCAACAGGAGGAAATTTTTTATTTAACACTTACAAGCCCCTGTAAGTGTCACCTTTTATAACGGGTATGCATAGCAAGTTTCAGAATCCTTACTGCTAAAAAGATATGGGCATTCCTCACAGCAAATACTCGTCCTCTTCTTGTTTGGCACAAGACATCATGTGTGGGACTACAGACTGCACTAACTCTCATTTTAGGCTGTTACAACCAGGTAACTCCACTTTAGACTAACATCATGAGGAAAAATGTGTAAGCAAAGTCAACAATTTAAAGCGAAAATATGACATCTTAGGGCTATAAAAAAAATAAATGTTAATTCAAAGCATGTCTGAAAAAGAAATTTCTCAAGGTATTCTACCATGTGGGAATTACTATTAAAGCGGGCTGAGACTACTGAAAACTGTCAGTATCCTGTCCGTTTAAAGCCAAGTGTATCTGAGACAGAGCAGCAGCACATCTAACAACTATAGTTACACCGTCCAATATTCAAACCACCTCTATCCCCCCCATATAAGACAGTTCCTCTAAAACAACCCCTTGAGCATCCACACTGAAAGCCAGTGCACGAGGCTCAGTGTACCTGCAGAAGGGAAGCCTTTCACCTTCAGGTCACCAGCCTAAATCCAAACCCTGCTGGGCTACCTTCAAAATCCCTGCATAGCCATTTGTCACGCTCCAAGAAAAAACCCTAGCAGAAAACTTTTATTTTCTCCCAGTCCACTTGGATTTCAGTGGACAAACCACCAATACCCACAACCCTACTGATCAATTCAGAGGTCATCAGAGTAACTACCACATCATCCACAAGAGGCCACATAAGGATTAAAAAGTGTTTAGCTGAGGAAACTGGTATGACAGCTGTATTTGCTGTACAAAGCTAAGTGCAGAAAGAGACGACTGGAGTCCTCATAGCCATCAACTCTGTAACTTCATTTTCAAAAGGGAGAGATAAATTACAATTTATATAACAAGGAGATTTCTGGTAGTACACACACACAAAATAAAAAACTCAATACTACATAAATAGCAAAATGTTAAAAGCTAGAGACAGAAAGATGCAGAGTCTATTTCTATCTAAAAATATAACTGCTTTTTTAAAGGATTTTAACTGCTATTAAACTGTTCAGACAGTTGTCCTAAGACACAACGGAGTCTTCGGGATCAGCTTCACAAAAAATGCTGCAATAAAAGCTCTTAATTTAGACCACAAAACTTTCAAGAAATATTGTGCAGCTCAACTTGAGACAGTCCGTGTCACACTGATGTAGAAGTCTATGTTCTTGCATGTTTACACTTCTGTCCTCCACGTGACAAGTGTCACAGGACACGAGCTACTGTTCTCATTTGAAGACTCACCTCCCTCCACCTGCCTTACGGAAGGATCACTTTGTCAACCTGTTCTATCTGACATCAGTTGAAGCATTCTCTTAACAGAAAAGCAACAGCCTACGTTTTAAATTTTCCAAGGGCACCAAGTGTCTCTCCCTCAACACCAGCACCTCATACAGCGTCATTCTGCTATAGTCTAAGAAATACGCAGAGTAATTAAATCCACAAAATTGACCATGGGATGCCTGCATTCTGACTGCTTCTCAAAGAAATAATATGTCATCCAGTTGAAAAACAAGTTACTACCATATCATCAGCTTAGAAAAATGGTGATAACTCAAAAACTAAGAAATGTAAATCATGGTGAATGCAATTAAGTCACCATACTAGCCAGTCTTTTCAAATTAGTATCTGTTGTATGAAGTAGTTAAATTATGCTTGAAGACAGCATCTCATCCAACGTTATGCAGTGAATAACTCAAAGCTTGTAATCTGAATGCTACGAGAGCTGTAATATTCCTGTCAATACTGCCTGTTTCTCACTGCTTTCTCAGAATTCATACTCTCATCCAAATAGCACACAATATAGACAGCTTGAGATGGTCCAAATCACATCTCACTCCTTCCCTCTCCCGCTTTTTAAAGGGCTGGTAGCATAGCTTTCACAGAACTGTATCTGCATTTCTGCAAATTAATTTAATCAAGTATATTGGTTTATATAAAGTCGTCTTGCCCATTAAAAACAGCATGCAAAGAAAAATCATTGCCCAAGACAAAAGCAACATTTAAAAATTGGGGGTTTTGTTCAGAAACAAACTAAAAAAAAAGTAGTTATCTTTTAAATTTGCCACATATTTCAGACTAAAACTGCACAACACTGGGCCATTCCACAGCAGGAGCTGGGTCTCAAACTCCTCACATAAGCCTCCTGCAGAACCAGACCTGCACTCCAGACAAATAACTACCTTGCCCCTGGGCTTGTAGAGATGACTGAAATTTGCCCTCTAAAGCTTGAAGAAAAAAAAAAAGAAATCCATGTTCGTGTGCTTAGGCAGGAGGCAAGGGTCCTGCCCAGCCCCGGAGCCCCGCAGGCTGCACCGAGACCCTCGGAAGGGTGCCTGGACATCAGCCGGGAGGGCAAACGACACCTTAACGTGCCCATGGGGCCTCCAAGTATGACTCCTTCAGAGCCCCAAGTTTTCTGCCATCGCAAACAGGTGTGGACATTCATTAAACCAGAAAATCTATTTTAATCTTCCAATAACAAATTGCATTACTCTCTTACAGTCAATTACTTTCCCAATAACCAAAGTTACATTTAAAGCAGTAAATATCAACGTTGCTATTGCCTCAGGACACATGAGGTAAGTAGGAAACTAAACAGATTTTGGAAGCAAGTAGAAAAATACTTTCCATTTTTGGGTAGTCAAAGTCTAAAATGTAGACGTGTGGTGTAGGCATGCAATCCATTGACATCTCTCGATGTCAATACATGCGTGAGAGAGAGACAGAACAGATGGGGCGAGTAGAGGGAACAGAAAGGAAACCTTGGCAAAATAACACAGAAGAGAACAGAAAATATAGGAGGCTGAGGCAGAAAAAATACAAAGAAAGAAAAGTCCATGAAGGTGCAGAGTAAGAAAGGAGATACATTAAAAATCAGATGGAATTAATAGTCTATTCTATACAATAAAAAGCAATACACAGGAGTCAAGTATGGACCAAAACATTCTCCCCAAACGGTGCATAGGAAAATAAAGTATTGGCCCAAAGATGATTCAATGAAAACTCATTTGACAATTTCAGTTATCAGGTCACTTATTCAGCCTGACAAATAGTGGACAACTTTTAGGCGTTGGTCCAAACATCAGAAGCCCAGGATTCTCCCCTCGTCTCTTTCAAATGACTTCTTACATGGCATTCTGGTGCACCAACTATTTTCCTTTTCTAGCCCACTTCAACACACAATACAGCTGAAGGTGCCTTAAACCATAGGTTGCCGCAAGATTTCCTTCACACACGTATATATGGAAAGACCTTAGGAAAAACCTTTAAAAAAACAAACCAAACCAAAACAAAAACACCAGGTGACATTTTTGTTTCTGTGACAGCCCTGTCAGTAGACAACAGGGGACACAATGTGCACGTTGCTACTGAAGACAACTTCTGGACTGCATTTTGAGGTATTCAGGAACAAACAAACAAGCAGAGACACTGTGCTAGTTTTCCAGGTGTGATTGAGGTGATTTCAGACATCAGCATATTCATTTGTAAATGCCATTAAGGGCTCTCTTCACCAACAAGCCTTTAAGTAACCGGAAAATCTAGCACACGTAGTACCTGTTCCTCCGTTCCTCCCTATGGACAGAAGTGGCAAGAGACAGCAGGCGGGGATTTAAGACTTGATGACAGAAAAGAAACCAGTTCCTCACAGCTAAGTACTCCACGGGCCAGGCAAAGGATAATGATGACAGTGCTGGTCCATACGGGACCGTTCAGCTACTGCTACGCAGAAGGAGAAAGTGTTCGGTGGTGTGGTCCGCACAGGAAGGCCTCTCTTGACGTGCGTGTTTTCAAGGAAGGAAAACCAAAGAAACAGAAATCTGGTGCAGCCCTCTGAGATGACCTTGTCCCAGAAGAATACTCACGCTGCTCTCAGTATGGGTATCACAACTTTCGGAAGATCTGCGCCTCTTTGGCTGTGCTGGTTTAGCTGTGTCCGGTGCAGCTTCACCACTGTGGTTCCTGAAGAGCAGCAAGTCCATCGTCTTCACTCTTGAGCACCTCAGCCCCTTGTTGTTGATGTTCCTTGTCCGAATGAGAAAGCAATGCTGGTCTTGGATGCGACAACGGCAGTCACTATCAGAAAGCCTCTTTGCAACAAGTATTATTTTTTTCCTCCTTTTTAATCAATGATGAGCACTGTATGCTGTTGTATGGGGGCAACAGCTTCCAGAACTTTCCCAGAAGTCAAATTTTCAAAAACGAGAAGTACTAAATACTTGCACCTCAGACTTTGTGCAGTCTGTTTGTAAACAGACTTAGAGAAGGTCAGACTGCATTCTGAGAGTGATTTTAAATTTCTTTTGCAAAACAACTGAAAACAAAATCTTTCCCAGAATGTAGTAAGAAATATTTTAACAATTATACAGCATGTGTTAAACTAGGAAGTATTATTTGATGTCAATATAAATATATTTTACATCATTACGTTTACATAATTTACATTTATAAACCTAATACAAAATCCGCCACCTCCATTACAGAACGGTTACACTTCTGTTTTTACAGTATTCTCTGCAAAGCTTTCCAGGTACACGCTTCTCTCTCTTCCCTTACCCACTTGGTGGACCCTCAGTCCCACTCTCACTCACTTCTCCTGATTCACCGCATCTCTCCACACTCTTCACGCAAACATTAATCAGCAAAACCATTTTGTATTGTTTCTCATACTTAGGTTCTTTTCTTTCCACATTTTTCCCATCTCCCATGAGAGCCATGCTGTGAACTACTGACTCTCCACCTTGCTGTATGTATGTATTATGTATGAAGAGAGAAAGTTTATATAAAGTTAATGCATCGCACTATGTTATACTGCAACTCTCAAGGATTCGTACAGGCCTGAAAGAGATGTGTGAAATGGAGCTCTCTGGGTGGGAGCCCCGACAGAAAGCAAGCTATGCTCAACAGTCAAGTTGTGAGCAAGCGGGGGAACATGAATGAAGCCCTTTCACTCTCCGCGGAGGCTGGCTGGGACGTCGTCGTGCCCTCTGACGGCTTTAACTACGGGCCAACAAATAACTCTTTCAGCACCCGAACTCAAAGTAGCCGCCTTTCCTTCTCTCGCTCCCACACCGCTTCCTCGGTATGCCATCGAGAACTGGAGCAAAACACTGCCCCGGACGACAATCACTCCAAGGAAGGGAAACTTCCAGTTGTTTTCCATTTTTTTTCAGTTCACGGGACAGCTTCACACACAGCTCTGCTGGCATAACAGAGCTGTAAGAGCACGGCGGCAGGAATGAGCCACAAATCACCAGAGCCAGGTACTTTATCTACCTTCCCACTACCAAAAAACGCAAAAGCAGCTAACTACGCAGCCAGGGTGGAGGATTTTTCCCCAAATTCCTCCCACGCCATGTTGTTCCTAGAACCCTTCTGTGCTTTGCATTGCTGAAACGTAAAACACAGCAGAAAACTCAAGTCATAAACGAATCGACTTATTTCACGTTCAAAAAGGGCAATAATGCTCCAGCACTAATGCGTGGATGGGTTCAACGTCTTCAAAGCGTGAAGCTGACAGCTTTGCCACTCTGCACAAGGAGTATTTCTTCAATAGTCAAGATTCGAGTTACTACACGACATACGTGGTATGTTATGGGAGCTCTAAGAAGGGCGACACCTGAAAATAAGATCTTTTAACAAGTTTTTTAAAAGCCTGGCAGCTCCGGGAACTGAGCGGCATGCCGAGGCTGTTCTTTCTCCCGCCAACCCAAGCCTCGCGCTCCCTCCTGGCCCCCGCTCCGCAGCTGCCCTCACCTACCGGCTCCTCCAGCACGGCCTCCTCGGTGGCAGCAGCTCGGTACC